AACTCGGATATATTTAAATGGTGTATTTCCTTCCATTAACATATTCCATGAGCGTTAAAAAATGAAAGGAAACCAATTCTCGTAAAGCACTCAGGGGAAAATTAAATGTTTTAATATCTTTCACTTTATACGGGAAAAGTTTGTTTAAAACGAAAGAATATCAAGTTTTTCATTTTCAATTTTTTCTTCAAAACAAAACGGAAAATTTAATTTACAATACAAGATTTGCATTTTTTTTCTCATGCACTTTTATTTAAATAATTAATTTTTTGTTATTGAAAATTTTTTTTATATTAAATTTTGCATATATATTTTTTTATACAACTAGTAAATTACATCATCCAAAAATATGTCGGGGCTTTTTTTTTAAGGAAACATAATATAACGAATCTTCATATATATTTTCTGGCTGCACGTTTTATGACTTGCCAACCGTCAGAGAAAGAAAACCGGCTCTATAACACTCGTTAGATCCGATACTTTGAAATTTATGTACCACGCATCTATATAGAAATGGCTCTCTGAATTTTTGAATAGCCAACGAGTGTGCACGAACACGTCTTTGTAATAGGTACAGAGGCTATGAATATATCTATATATATATGATAAAAGAGAATGAAAACGTGCTTTACATTGTGAGACAATCGAGTTTTACCTTTTTATCCAGAACGTAGAGAAAACATTTTTTTTTTTTTTTTGGTACATTATTTAACAATATTAAAAGATATTTTCACGTTTTGATTTTTTCATCTTTCATGCGTATATATGTCATTCAGGATATGCAAAATTTTTTTATAATGACAGCTGCGTATATAAAGTAAAATTCTCATATTATTCGAATCACGTATTCGAATTCGTATTCGAATTTTAATTTAATTTTATTTGTTTCAAATAAATTCGATATAAAAATTAACTAATTTTATATCCTATAGTTTCGTTTCAAAAATTATTTTGGTTCAAGTAAATATTTATTTGATATAACAATTAACCGATTATTTGAATTAAATAAATTTTTTTTCTACATTAATGTTTCGTTGTAATTATTGTTAATTAAAATTTCTGTAATAATTTGTTTTCGACGAAAATTGGTGCAAATAATTTATATTATTTGAAAACGAGATGAGGCGAGATTTGGAGAAACCGAGTCCTTGCCGCATGGGATTGGAAATGAAGTCGGATGAAGCTTTGCATGAACGGGATAGGTTGTCAGGAATGAAGTTAACATGCACAGTAGGGAAAAGGGTTATTTCGGCCCTTGATCTCACAGATATACTCTCTGGCGAATGCAACACGTCGATATTAGGTTCCAAATATGTATATAGAGTGAGTGCAACTTGTCCGTATATATATATATATATACGAAGGTCCCTAAAATTCATTTTCACCTATACAGTATACATATAATATAGGGTGCATACTATGTATATATAATCGAGAGAAACCAAGCGACTTGCATATTCAGCAACTTGTAATAAACCCCTCATGTCTAAAATTACAATGCACCAAGAATAATCGGTGTTATTTTCTCTAAAAGTAGTTTTTACCTCTTTCTTTCAAGACAATGTTGTAACGTAAAAGAGAAGAAAAAAATTTGCATTTTCACCGTTTTGAAAAAACATCGAAAACATTTTTTTTTTTTTTACTATTTATACTAAAACCCTAAAATTGTCCGGAAATTTTTACTCCAAAAATTAAAAAAAAAAAAAAATTACAAATATTATTTTAAAAAAATTTTTATTCGTTTTTAAATAGTAGATTTTTTAAAATGCAAATAATTTTAAAACGTTTTATTTTACATTTTTTTTTTCTTGTCATTGACTTAAAGGCGTTTATTGGATTCAAATATTATGATCCTTAGGAGGAATAAAATCACTAATTACCCATCAAAAGTTGACGATAATTAACGATTTCTTTAAGAGAAAACGATAAAGGGTTCGACGATAATTCCTCTCGTAAAAATTGATTGCTCACTATATATATATATATATATAGAGAGAGAGAGAGAGAGAGAGAGAGAAATGGAAAAAAAAGTCAACTTAACTTTTCTTCGTGCGGTTATCGTTCTAAAATAGAAAGAAGAGAAAAAAGAACAGGAAATGCACTGGCGACACATACATTGATTTTCTTTTGAAACGTTCTTTGTCCTTTTCTGGTATATATACAACTTGACCTTATTTTCAAAAGTAATTTAATTATATTATTTTTTTATAATGTGTGATTAAAAAATTCAAAATCAAATACATGCAGTCTATATTATATTTTGAACTATATATATTTTGTCTTACTTTTTATAATTTTGTATTTTTTTTTATGTTCTATTTTACGTTTGTTCATTATATTGATGTATATATCTTTTTAGAAAAAAAAAACTAGTGGGAAAGAAAAAATTGTAAAACTTTGTAAAAAAAGTACACAATGGAGAAATAAAATCTATCTATCTTAAAAAATTCAAAATTTAAATAAAAAAAAAACTATTCTAAACAATGTAATTTTAGATTTTTAATTAATAATAATTATTAATAATTATTAATTTAAATAATATGATTGAATTTTTATGACTAACAGATGCTTGTATTATAAACAAGTGCTGTTTTTTTCAAAGAAGAGGTACTTAATCTCATTGTTTTGCAAATGACGCGATCGAGTAACAATTGTTTTTTTTTCTCGCTTGATCGCATTAATTTAATTTTCTATTAGGGCAAAGGATAATCGAAAAAAGATATTTTTTTTTCTTTTTTTTGATAAATATTCACTTTATGCATGGTAATAGACTTTTTACTATTCTTGAAACGACATATAAGTCCTTAAGAAGCCATTCCACTGATAAAATGAGTATTGCATCAGCAATCTTAAAATTAATTGTTTCCGATATGTAAATTTAGGTGTGAACGACTTTTATATATTTAAATATATTTGCATTCTAAATGCAAATTTTAATTCTTTTACATATATATATATATATACATTATTTTTTGCTTTTATTCCTCAGGAATTTTAAACCCTTTTTTCTAATATACAATTTCTAATATAATACAACTGCGGTAATAATAATAATTTTATGTACGTTTTTTTTTTTAAATAAAAAATTGTGAAAAATTTTATTTTTGGCGAATTTGATTAAAAAAAATTTTTTTTTTTTTTTTTGTTTGAATTTTACACAAAAGTGATGGAAACCTTATATTATGTATTTTATCACGTTGCCATTCTCTGAAGCGGCTCGAATGTTCGCTCTTTAAAGTTATACAGCGATTGTACGTGGTCGCAAATCGATGATTGTGCAATTCTCCCGATACTAAAACGGGCATAGAAACGCTTCCATTCAGTTAAGATTACTTGGCACACACAAAGGTGAAAATGTGTCTATAAATATCATGGAATTCAATACGCTTCAGGCAAATTAACATAGAGATTGAAAGCACGTGCCTTTACTATGTAATTGATAAAATATTTTTAATGATTTTCCTTCATCTAAATTTCAATGTTTTAAAAAATAAATATTTGAAAAAAATATGTATAGGGTAAGTGTATGAATTACTGCTGATGCGCCAATTACTGCGATTTTTATAAAATTATAGTAAAACTTAGTAATTGAGAACATAAAACTGTTTTAAAATGACTTTAAAACTTATTCTAAATGATATTTGATATTATATCCACTACCCTCACAGCACCAGATATCCAAGGATATTCCAAAAACATCCCTTGGATATCCTAGGGATACCCCAGGGATATCCTAAGGATACTTTAAGGATATCCAAAGTAGCGGCGGTTACGATATCCTAGGGATATCCCAGGGATATCTAAGGATGTTCCTAGGACGTCCCAGGGATATCCTAATCATTTCCCCGGATATTATTAGGATATCCCAAGGATAATGGAATAATTAGGAATGTTCTTAGGACGTCCTAAGGATATCCACAGTATGTCTATATTATCTTAAGGGTTAGAATATCCTTGAGTCGTTCTAAAAATGTCCCTATAAGGTATCCATAAAACGACCCTAACATGCAAATTAATTAAATAAAAATGGAAAACATATTTTTTGGATGTATTTAAAATGTATTTCCAAGATATCTAAAATGATTTACCTTGTCTACAAGAATTCTTTTTTCTACTTTTTCTTTAAAAAAATTTCATTCATAATGATATCCTAGGGAGATCTTAGCGATATTTCTAGAATATTTTAACGATATACCAAGTTTATCCCAAGAATATCCCCACGATATAACTAGGATATCCCTTGGATATCCCTAGAATATCCCCAAGATATCCCCCGGATATTCTAGAATATCCTCAGTATATCCCCAGGATATCTCAAAAATATCCTACGTAACGGCGGTTTGGATGTTCTGAGGATATCCTCAGGATATCCTATGAACATTTTCAGGATATCCTACATTAGTTTAGGATATCCTGAGGATATCCTTTTGTTGTGAGGGTAATGATGCATATTTCGACTATTATCAAATTATTTATTCAAGTTACAATTGAACCTATCACAGTAATTAGAGCATGCGTAATATATTTTTCTCATGCTGCTATTACTGTGGTCTATCCAGTCAATCTAACCTCTAAATCAACACTTTTAGCGTTGCAGTAATTGGTGTACACCATTCGCAGTAATTCATGCAAACTTGCAGTAATACCAGTATATGCCATTTTTAAAAAAGTTAATATTTTTAATAATATATTTCTTATTTCTTCAAATTTCAAGTATCGTTTCTATTTTAATAGACACTAATAGTGATTTAACAAAAATAATTAAATCATTATTTCATTTACACTTTTATTATTTTATCATTAAAGTCGGTCTTGGTTTGTACATCACAGTAATTAGGACATTTACCTTAATATTTTTTGTTTTGTTCAATAAAAAGAAAAATATATTATTAAAATTGAGAAATATTAATATATCTATAAATATATTAATAAAAATAATAATAAATATTAATTTTGTCATTTATAAATTATTTGCCTAATGGATGTGAAATTTGTTACAGGAGAGACTCCCGAAGAATTGTCATCTCGGTTGAAGGGTGATGTTTGTAACCGGAAGTGTGCCTTGGATGGTTCCGCATTCTCGGAAGTGGTACCGGTGGTTTTTGTTGCTCGACGAGACAGATTTCAAAGTAACCAGAAACAAGAGTAGAGAAGATCCACGATTCATTCACCGATAGTAACAGTAATGGTGTCACTTATATGCAATGACAGCCGTGGCATTGAGGCATCGGGTCCATCCTTACAAGGCCCTCGCCTGTGTCGTATTGACACTTATTGCTATTCAATATCTTCTCAGTGGAATTTTTGATCGTCGCTCAATTGAGACTATCTTCACTATTAACGCCACACGGTGAGTCAAATTTTTATTTCATCCAACCTTTTTTATTAATTAATTTTTTATTAATTATTAATTATTAATAGCAATTTTTGGTACACTGAGAAAAATTTTTAGTCAAAGCAACCAAAATTTGGTTGGGCCAACAAAAAAAAAAATTTTGTTGGTATTTAAGCAACCAAACTATTTGTTTGAGTCAAGGAAAAAATTTGGTTGAGTGTTTTTTATTGGCATAACAAAAATGTTTGGTTAGCTCAACTAAATTTTTTTTCTTAGGTCAACAAAAATGTTTGGTTGATCAAACAAACAGTTTTTTTGGTTGTCGCAACCAAATTTTGGTTAGGACAACAAACCATCATTTGATTTTTTAGACCAAACTATTTTGTTGTGTTAACCAAATTATTTTATTGTCGTAACTAAATTTTGGTTGGAATTTAAAAATGTTCAAATAATTTTGTTGGCCTAACCAAATGTTTCGTTGAGATAACCCTACGACTTTGTTTCAGCCAACCAAAATTTGGTTATACAAGAACCAAAATTGCCTAATCAAACAATTTTGTTGCAAACAATAAATTTTTTTTCTCAGTGTATTAAAATTGGATTCCTAATTTAAAATTAAGTTATAAAGATTAGGATATGTGGTGGAAGAAGCTCTCGAGAGGAGAATCGATTGATCTTGGAGTCTTTGAGATGGAGTGAGAAATCTCATTACTTGCGCTTGTAACGAGGGTACATAGCAACCAATATATATATATAGTGTGTGAGGGCCCCCTTCGCGAATTTGGCTACGCGGAACAATTTATGGCACGGTATAATGGGAAATAATCGGTTACTTGTCGATCCAAGGCGATTATCCTCAGATTCCTCTTTTGACCTCGAAGGAGCATTGATTTCGTAACTCCCTCGAGCTCTGATCCTCGCAATTATTCAAAGCTATCTCTAGTTGAATCCCTCAACGGTCTCTTATAACTAAATTTTATCATCCTGAAAAAAATAAAATCTCAAAATGAAAAGAATATTTTTAATTTTTTAAATTAAAATTCCTTAAAAATTTGGCAAATAATGATGATTACTATAAAAAAAATTTTTTTTCACTCGATAATTAAGATAAAAAAAGCTTTTTAAAAATTTTACGTCTAAGGGGAGAAATTCGATTAATTCAACTTTGATTATACCTCACTTTCATCTTATATCCGTGGAATAAGATGAGAGAGAAAACTATTTTCGTCACGATTCTTTTGATTGCATTTGAAAGTCCAGTCAATATTTCTGATTAAAAAGTCACTTTTTCCATTTCCTCTGGTTAATTTTTACGATTAAAAACTTCATTTCCTTATTGGACAATTTTAATATTTGCGCAAAAAAAAAGGAATGCAGAAAATTCGTATTTTTTGTGTTAAATTCAAAATATATTGTAATTTATTCATATATATATATATATATATATATATATATATATGGTAAAAGTTAAGTTATTACCGAGGCTCGAAGTTGACATTTTAGTTTGAAAAATTGTAGTCGGATGCGACAAATTTTGTAATATAACTTGTTTATATATACAAAACGATGCATATGTTTGGAAACCCGCGGGTATGTATAAAAGTAGCACGGTGACCTGAAAATTAATCGATAGGCGGAAAGCACAGATTCTAAAATACCCTTTCACATTTTTCCAGACGAAAAATTATATCTTTAAACGTTTATATTTCTAAAAAAGGAAATAATAATAAAAAAATAAAAATAAAATGGAGGATAAATTCACGTAGCAACAGGATCATATTTCATGGAATTCGATATTGTTATCGAGTGGAGAAATTTTTATTTTAACAGATACGTGAACATTTTTTTTTTTTTGTAACTTACTAAATTAGTAAGTTAATTTCAAAAAATGATACACTTTAAAATAAATAATAAAAATTATGATTTAAAAAAACTGCAGCCTTTCTATATAGTTAAATATTTAGTAAATTAAAAAATTCATTTAAAATTATGTTTTTCGTAAATGAAATTTGAAATTAAAATCGAAAATTATCGAAACAATGTTTCGCGCATTTTATACGATGAAACAACTGAATAGTTTGTGATGAAAATATTGAATTTCAAAGCAGTGGAAAATTAGTAAGGACATAGAGATACAGAGTATAATTTACCATATTTCGTTTCGCTTTTCAACGTCCTGTAAACAAGCTTCGTGAAAGTTCACACGCCCATTACATGTTTATCAAATTCCATTATGTACGCATAAATCACATTTATTCACGATTTTCATCGTAGCTCGTCGCAACTCGTAACTAATGGGGTTGTTACCGCCATATACACCTTATATATATAATATATTTAAGTAAATAATAAACACAATTTTTTTTTTTTTTCATTTTTCACATTCTAATTAATCACATCTATTTCTAATGAACACCAATTATACCCAAAGAAATATTTAACGCAAATATAATTTTTATTTATAAAAAAAAAAAAAAGAATATTTTTTTGCCAAAATAATTAAAATTATTTTGTTGAATAAAAATTAATTCATTCATATTAGAATAGAAGAAAAATAATAGTATCGTATAAAATAAATTTCCCAATATAAAATAAAAAAAAAAAATTTGCCAAAATTATTTCTATTTAAAATTCTATATTCAAAAAAAGTTTTTATATCTTATATATGAGAAAAATATGATAGATATGAATGTGAGATATTTTTTGTTTGCTTGCGAAGCATTTTAATGAAATGGATATTTCTCTGGTGTGTGAAAAATATAAGGCGTTTTTCTACTGTGAGGCAAATAAACTGAATTAAGAATTTTTTTTTTTTATTTTCTACACGTAGGCAGCACACAGTTATTTGCACAGAATCCCATAGTGTAATAACGAGAAATAAAGAAGAATAACGAGTCTAAGTTTCCTCGCGTACAGAGCACTTTGTAAAGCAGGTGGGTAATAACAAGAAGCACTGTAATGCCAAAAAAAAATGAAGAAAAAAAAATAAAATGTTGAATAGTGGCTATAACGTTTTAATAAATGGACCATTTAATGTTGAATATGATTAAGAAAATCCCACTTGGAAATAAACAATTTCTCAACTCAATGAACCAATTGTGCTATAACATTTTTTTTTTTTTTTTTTCATTAAATGTTTTATTGTCTAAAATAATAAAACAATATTCTAAATACTAAACTAAAAATACTAAGACTTTCATAAAAAAAATAGTAATAAATATAGTAATATTGTACTAAAAAATTAGTAAACAATTTAGTAAACAAATTTTTTTTACTAATTTTAATTATAGTGAACAAATTCTTACTAATTTAAATTTATAGAGAATATGGAAAATAATTTTTTTAGTGTTCTAATGGAAAAATTTAATTGCTACTAAAATTGTATTTTAAACAAACTTAAAATTAGGAATTGACCTTTGACATTTTATTTAGAATCACGTCAATGCTTTGGAAATTCTCTTGAATTACTTCAATACACGTTAAATATATATAGATTTAATCGATTTAAAAGACCAACGCCCCTTTGCGTGTCGCGTTTCCGATCTGAATTTAGTCGAGATTAAAAAAAAATATTTTTTTTTTATTAAAATTAATTAGTAAATTATTTTAGTGTAAAACATTTTATTCGTGTTACTTTTCTGAACAAACAATATCAGAGAGCGTAAATCATATGAAACACATTTGTCTGATTTAATAAATTTTACTATTGCTGCAATAATTATAATAATAATAATAATAATAATAATAATAATAATAATAATAATAATAATAATAATAATAATAATAATTTTAGAATGTCGCTTTTAAATTAATCTGCAACAATGTTAGTTACAATCATTTTTCATTATGTAATATAATAATAATAGTAGTTTAATAATTTATGGTATTTTTAATAAAAATTATATAACGAGGAAAATTTTAAATTTATATTTTTTTATTCTTTTTTTAATGAAATTTCATTAATTTTTCATTTTTATTCACTTATTTATTCTTTTTAATTTTTAAAGTGAATCTCTTAATTTATATAGATATTTGAACTTTTCTTTTTTTTTAATTAATTTTTCCTTTTAATTATTTTCATTTTTAAATTTGCCATTATTATATATTTGATTTTTTTTTAATTTAATTTTAATTTATGTACATTATAGTTTGAAAGTTGAAGAATTTATTTTCTCACTTTACGATTAACAATTCAAGAGAATAAAAAGCAATAATCTATCTAGAAATAATTGGCGCTATATTCATAAAAGTTTAAAGCATTAAAAAAAAAGCCATTAGCAAAATGACTTTGTTTTATACGCTTTTTTAAAATATTTTTATAGTTAAATATAAATTTCGTACTTTCATCAAACCTGATGTTATTATTTGCGAAAGTGAAAAGTTATTATTTGTATAACATTAATAGGGCAATTTTCTTTTATAATTGGAAAAGTAAATTTTAGCGATTAAAATTATTATTATTATTATTATTAAAAAAAAGACAATGAAAAGTATTTTTAAAATAGATGAAAATAATGGAATAATTAAAATATAATTAAAATATAATGAATATAATAAAAATATAATTAAAACATAATATAATTATTTATAATTTATTGAAGTCAAAAGGGCCTTGAATTTTATTTTAATTTTAATAATTATTTATAATTAAAATGGTTTTAATGAATAAAATAATAAAAATGGTAGAAAATAATAAATAAATGGGTGTGTTTGCTATTGTTTATTATTGAATATATATAATACTGCGTGCTAATCTAACATTTGATATTAGATGAACTAACTTGTTGGCGTGCACAAAAGCATAGACATTTGGACATCCATATCTTCTCTCTGGAGACACTGAATGTCCCTGTGAATCATCAGTCAAGCATGTACTAGCTCTAACACTGCCAGATATGATTATATTATCATTCCTCTGTATGCGAATGAAACCAGGCAAATAAGAATTTAATTAAAAAAATTTTAATCAATATTTAGTGTATACAAATATTTTTTACAATTATTTAAAATTATTATTATACTTTTATTTCAATTTTTTTTTTTCGATGCAATTTTTCGTTTTCTTCAAATTTATCATATTTATTTGCATATACCATTTTTATTGTAACTAATAAAATTTTTATTATTAAATAATCAATAATAACAAAAAATTTATTTGATTCAAATAATAAATTGATTACTTGAATATTATTATCAAATAAATATTTATTTTAATTTTTATTTTAATGAAATAATTTTCATTTGAATGAAATAATTTTTTGTATTCTAAGCCGTATAAACGATTAAACTCGTGAATTAAGCGCGATATGTTTTCAACTTTGTATTGTGACTCCTCTTGACTTAAAATTGTCAAATTTAATTAAATTTTATTGCTCGTGTATGTATATATATATAGACTTCTATTTGAAATGATAACGTCTTGGAAAATTAGGTCGAGAGCAGCCAACTTGAGTGCTCACACCTTGCTCTCTCTCTCTCTCTCTGTGCTATGTATAAAAGCCAGCATGTCTATAGGGTTGAGAAGCAAGACTCTGGATTTCTGGAAAATATTATGCCTTGAAATTTGATATAAAACTTGAAGAGTTGATACGTATTTTTTATCTACTCCTTTTAATTTTTTTTTTTATAAGAAATATAAATCTTATAATCAAACTATATGATAATTGTAAAAAAATATATATATTCGTAAAATTTTCTATACAACCAAAGAAATATTTTTTTTAGACAAATAAAATTTATTTATATTTTTGAATGTATAAATTTGGGGAAATTTGTGCCTGGAATTTAGTATCTACTTTTTTCAGATATAAAAACGTGAATTATTTTTTCATAAAAGATCGAATCTTTCAGTTAAAGAAGATTTTCTTGTATACTGGGATATAAAAATTCTCCACAAAACTATAAGCTCGATATTATATAATATATAGTTGCTCTAGGCGTTACTCTATATTTTTCTTAGCTTCTCTTTCCCAAATATACGAATATATTTTTTTTTTTGTATATTTTATTTATTACATTACATTAAAGTAACAAAAAAAAAAAATGTCACTAATTGTTCAAAAGTGAATAAAAAAAAAAAAGATTTAATGAATACTCATGGTCTGATTAACCGCAATAATTAAGAGTCAAAGAGATAACAGCGGTATAGTTTGTGATCCGCATAATTGCAGATAGAAACCCATAATCTCGGGTGCAGAGAGGTTCAATAAAATTATATCTAATCAGTAACAAAACAAAGATAAAAAATACTTTATTAATTCTATGTAGAGAATTAAATTTTTTTTCTTTAAAAAAACAACTTGATTAATCACTTTTAAAATCATTGATTGCAGATATTCAACCAGTTATTACAAGGGTCATCCACGGGGATTAATCATTTATAAAAGCGAGACACCATCGAACTTTTCTGGAAATTCAAGTATCTCGACAGCCTCCATTATATCCGAGGTTGCAATTCGAGCTGGCAATGACTCTTCTTCTTCTTCTTCTTCTTCTACTTCTTCGAAACTTGAAACAATTTCTTCAGGGAATTCGGCAATGGTAACAGGAAATCCAAATACTTCTATGCCAAACGTCACAGACACAATTCAACAGCAATGTCCTCTTATTCCACCAAAACTTGGTAAGCAACTTTTGTTACACAAGATGTTCACTTGACAAATACAAGGACAATGGCCTAAAAGTCTTGTTCAAAATCTAAATGGAGAGTTGCTCCCTTTAGTCAACGTTAATGAATCCAAGTGACTTTCAAGTGAGCCCCTTTTTGCCTGATGTTAATTCCAGGATTACAATATACTTAAATACGTAGATACAAATTTAACAAAAAAAAAAGAAAAGAAAATTCTTTTTCAACAAGGTAGGAAAATCGTCAAGTTTTAATTAAACTTGCTCTCGCAATGGCAAACGTTAAAGGGCTGTGAAATTGAAAAGAGAGTTTACAAATTACAAATTCACTCGCGACAGACTTGACAACCAAGTATTTTCTCTTCTTCTTCTTCTTTGAAAATGTAAATATCGTTCTTTAAACGGTAAAAAAAAATAAAATAATAGTTTGACAACAATATTAAATACCAAGGGACGCATGATTATATTCTAAAAATCATTAGTCATAATTGAGCCGAATTTTTATTTGTTCGAATTAGTATTTTGCATAATTTTCATCAATCCGATTTTTTATATTGCAGAATTTTTATATAACCGAAAATTCACTCCACAGAATTTTTATTTCTTCGGATTTTTATTTGTCAGAATTTTTATTTGCTCGAATTTTCATTTAACATAATAGGCATTTCAAATAATTTTTGTTGGGTAGAATTTCATTGAATTGAATTTTCATTCAGATGAATTTTCATTTGTTCGAATTATTATTTGATATAATTTCCATATAATCGATTTTTCATACTACAGAATTTTTACTTAACCGACAAATCATTTAATAGAATTTCTAATTGATAGAATTTACATTTGTCCGAATTTTCAAATGGCCGAACAAACAATCGACAGAAAGATTTCGGTGCGATTTTTAAAATCAACCAATCAAAAATTATTCATAAAATTGTGATTGGTTGATTTTAAAAATCGCGCTGAAATCTTTCTGTCGATTGTTTGTTTTATTCAATGAAATTCTACCCAATAAAAATTCTTTAAAATGCCTATTATGTTAAATAAAAATTCGAGCAAATAAAAATTCGAAGAAATAAAAATTCTGTGGAGTGAATTTTCGGTTATATAAAAATTCTGCAATATAAAAAATCGGATTGATGAAAATTATGAAAAATACTAATTCGAACAAATAAAAATTCGGCTCAAAACTAATTCGGACAAATAAAATTCGATAAATTGTAAATTATGACTAATGATTTTTAGAACATAATCATGCGTCCCAATACCAAAGGGCACATGATTAGGGCGCATGATTATCCCATAAAAATTATTAGTTAAAATTTTCATTTTAAAGAATTTTATAAGCTATAATTATTTTTTAGACGAATTTTTATTTTTCCAATTAAAATTTGACAGAATTACTTTTTAAACAAATTTTTACTTAACATAATTCTTATATATCGAAATTTTATTTGGCAGAATTCTTAAAACGCCGAATTTTTATTTGTCCGAAATTGCAAATGTTCGAACAAACAATCGACAGAAAGATTTTGACGCGATTTTTAAAATCAACCAATCACAATTTTATGGATAATTTTTGATTGGTTGATTTTAAAAATCGCGCCAAAATCTTTTTGTCGATTGTTTTTTCTGCCATTTGCAATTTCGGACAAATAAAAATTCGGCGTTTTAAGAATTCTGCCAAATAAAATTTTGGTGCCTAAGAATTCTGTTAATTAAAAATTCTTTAAAAAAGAAATTCTCACAAATGTTAATTTGAAAAATGAAAATTCGTGTAAAAAATAATTATATGTAATGGAATTTGTCGAAAATGAAAATTCTCACTAATAATTTTCATTTTAAAGAATTTTATTCGAAATAATTATTTTTGAATGTCAATTATACCGAATTTTTATTTTATTATCATTTAATTTACATTACTTTTTATTTAAAGAGAATTTTTATTTAACAGAATTCTCATTCAATCGAATTTTATATGATTCAAAATTTTAAATGACAGAAATTCCAATTCACGGAATTTTAATTCGGCGTCTTAATCTGTCAAATCAAAATTCGTACAAATGAAAATTAGGACAAATTTGTAATTCGATGAATTGAAATTTCTGTCATTTAAAAATTACAAATCACATGAAATTTGATTGAATGAGAATTTTGTTAAATTAAAATTCTTTTAAATAAAAATTTATGTAAAATTAAAATAAAAAAAATAAATAAATAAAAGTCAGGTAAAATAAAAATTCTGCTAAACAAAAATTAGGTACCTAAAAAATTGTATGTAAAAAAAAGAAAATCTGTCAATTGTTAATTTGAAAATTATTAAATTTGTCTGAAAAATAATTATTTCTAATAAAATTCCTTAAAAATAAAAATGCTAATTAACAATTTTTATCGGAAATTCATGCAATAACAACAGTTTGTAACAATTCAAAGTAAATGAATCAAAGCATCAACAACTACATAATAAAATGGAAAAAAAATAATAATAATAATAATTTGCCAACCCAACAAAATGAAATTTGCATTGTAGAATTGATATTTACATTCGAAAAGAGCTTTTGAGCTCTCGAAACAAATTCAAAGAAAAAGTTTTCTTTTAAAAGCCATCTACTTCGAGGGAAAATGGAAAAGCTTCTTGTTTCCCATTGGATCGTGTCTAAAAGAATAGAAAAAAAAAATGTGTATTTCTCTTTTGTTATTTTTCAAACGACCATATCTACTACAGAGTATCAGAATTTGAATAGAAAACGAGACCATTACGGGAAATTAAATATATATTGAAATTTTAATTCAGTATTTATTTTTAAAACTTTTATTATGTTTTTTTTTTACTTTCGAATTGTTTATAATTTAATTCTTTTTTCTATGTATAAGCAATTACCTGGTACAGATGTACAAATTGAAATGAGAGTCTCCTCGAATATCAGATCGTTAACTTAGGCAAGCAATTAGTTTTCGAACTAATTAGAAGCAGGCTTAATCATGCATCTAATTAATGTCCTTTGTGTATATTGATCCGATAGGCTTTTTTTTATTTTATATTTTTATTTTATATTTATTTCCTTTTCTATTATTTATGATTTTTATTTCATTTTCTATTTATGATTTTTAATTTCTGATTATTTTTCCTATTTGTATTGGAAAATTTATTTTCATTTTGATTTTTTTGTTTTTGGCTTTTAACAACGATTTTCTCTATATCGAATATATGTGTTTTATGTTCTTTTAAATCGTGCTTGATAATAAATTAAATTCCGATTGAAATTGATTTCGTTTTATTATTTTCCAGTTGGACCAGTTCTCGTCATTAAAACACCACCGGAGCTTTCAATCATAGAGAAAAATTTCACAGAGGTGAGACCTGGTGGTAGAGGATTTCCAACGAATTGTATCACCAGACATCACGTTGCCATCATTATTCCATTTCGCGATAGACCTCAACATTTGCAAACACTTCTTTACAATTTGCATCCAATTTTATTGCGTCAGCAAATCGACTATCAAATTTTCATTGTCGAGCAAGAAGGTGAGTGTTAAAAATTTGTCCCTTTTTTTTCTTTTCTCGCTAAAAAAAAAAGATTTTCCAATTTTTTGGCTTTTTTCCTTTAAATAATTAAATAATTATTATTTGAGTCAATTTTTATTAAAATATAGAAATTATTGATTCAAATAAAAATTATTTGGTTCAAGTAAATATTTATTTGATAATAGTTATTATTTCAATGAAATTAGTTCTTTTTTTTTATTGAAGAGTATACATGAGAGGAAATTAGCGAATTTAATTTAAGAGTAATTTTCTCAATAGTTAATTTGATGATGTTTATTTTAGGGTGGGGGTGGGGAAAGGGAGTTGAAAGAAAATTGTCGATCACGCAGTGTAATTTGGAGCTTACGGTTGAAATGCCTAAAAGACTAGTAATAGGACGCTCGTAAACAGTAATGTATGACACATCCCTTTGCCACTAATCACTTTTGAAGTGGGATTTTCCATTGCTGAGTTTGTCTGCATAAAGTCGAACATGGTCCCATCTTGATCAAGATCGCTTTCGACTCTCCATGCTCGATTCAATTAGCACACTTCTACATCGATCGAGGTGCAGTGCACATTGAATTCCCCTGTGTGTGGTTTGCTCTAGATTGCAATTTCAACCAATCGAATTAATGGATGGCACCTTCGTAAATTCAAAAAGATAATTCAAAAAGCCATCGGACTTTGATGATTTCGAATAAAATTCTCGTTGGAAAATTGCGCTGACTCAATTTCTCACGATTGGTAACCGCAATCAATTATATTTCTAAAAAAAAATTATTTTTGTTTAAAACAAATTTCTGAATATTTTATAGATATTACCCATTAATAGATTGAATTATCTTTTAATAAATTATTTTTTATTTCCATAGGAAGAGCGATTAAAGGGGAAGAGAAATCTTAAAAGTTGAGACCGATTTTCCCATAAGTTGAACCCATTATAGAAGTCCATTTTGCATAGCGATCGAAGTGTATTATCCATTTAGCGAAACTCGATGAATAATTCAAAGCAACTCCCCAACCAAATAGGTTTGCCATTTCCAAGTTAACATTTCTCAAGTTTGTCGATGTCCAAACCTAAATGCTCTAGTTATTTAGTCAAGTCTTTGCCTTGAATATCAATTTTTATCTTAACCATAAAGATTTACTTTTCTTCCTCTATGTTTCATCTTTTATTTTATATTTAATTTTTCTTTTTTTTATTCGAAATTTTAATATTTTTTTCGCCCTGTTAAAAAAAAACGCTTTATTCCCGTATAAAAAGCATCTAGCCTATAACAATACGTGTCGAAAGTTTGTTTACAAGAAAGATTAAACTTTATTAAAAGAAGATAAACAAGAAGAGGAAAGAGAATGGTGAGAGGTTTTTACGTGAAAGGGTTAAAGTTGTGCTTCTGTATAGTTTCTTGCAGGTAGTACTGCATTGCGGTGTATTTTTGAGACGAGAAACTTGACGATGCATTTAATCGTTAATAATTTTTCTTATTTTTTTTTTTTTAAACACGATTTTTTAAAAATTTTATTTGGTTTTTTTGTTTTTCTTTGAAAAACTACATATTTCATCAAATAGCTTTCTAGTTTGAATTTTCTGTCGCACTTTAAATTGCAACATAATTTTGAATTTCAAATGTTGCTAGACGTTTGAGATTAAAGCCAAGTCGCAGTCCGACGAATCCTCTCTCTCTCTCTCTTTCTCCTCTTTACATAATTGCTTTGCCTTGCATATTTTAACAAAGTACAAAAAACTAAACTGCGATTCGAGTCGTTGAAATATTTAAAATATCACACGAATAATGTTGATCAATTTTTTATAGTTTTCCATTTTATTCTTTTTTTTTGGATAATAAATTTATATCATTTTGAAACTGCGATCAATTAAAATAAATGAATCGAAACTTTCAGCAATTGTATTATAACAATTGAAGCTCTAAGGCAATTGAATACTCGATGGCAGTTTGAAAACGATTTATCCTGACTAAGATTGTTGGGGTTATATTGTACGTGGTTGGTTGAAACCTTGGTTATCCAAGATTAACATGCTACTCACTTCGTATACGTTTCGAAAACGTGTAGGTAGTCAAAAGGATTAAGTGAGGTGTAAAGTTCAATGAAACGTCTTTAATATTACACACAGGAGTTTCGTTTCTTTCGCTTCAATAAATCTTCCACTTTGAATTTCACATTTCCGCAAAAGTTGTTTTTTTTTCAAAAATTTCCAGTTTTATTATATTTATTATTTTATAAATTAACTCTTCTTTCTAGGGTTTATTTTTCGTTTTCCTTTATTTTCTTTTTCATTATCTAGAAAATAATTATTATATAATCATTTATTTTTATCAAATTTCCAAAAAATATAATGTGTCAGTTATCTAAATTATTAAAGAAAATTAATGGAATCGACTTTCAGAAGATAAATTATCACGTTAAAATGTCAGTAGAGTCGTTATTCTTCATTGGGTTGAAAATGGGATTTTAAGGAAAAATTATCTTTCTTCAATATAATTATAGAAAAATGTCATCTTTGCTTATTACTGGCTTTCCTGATTACATGTAATATAATTAATTTATATCCATGTAGAAAGATTCCATTTCTGTCCACTTTGGTCCATTGTAGCTCGGATGCTGTTGGCCATATAAATTTTTTGCAGAGCATTGTTTTCTGTGATTAGAATTTATTCACTATTTTTTTTTTTTAAGTACAAATTCTCCATAAGAAGAGAATAAGAGAAAAATTTCCAATACCAATGAACTTGAATGTAATGGAAGCGTTTAAATTTCAAATACGTGAATCGAATTTCTCAGCTCGAAACCAAACCATTTACTTCCATATATCTTTAATTCATTCATGTGAAATATATGGAATTTAAAAAAAAATAAATTCTATTTTTATTTCAATATTTTAATCAAGATTTTTATTTTTCAGATATCTCTTTATTATTAAATAATTTCGAATGGTATAAAAACAAAGAAAAAGTAAAAAAAGAGACTTGATTTTTGTCGATGAAAAAAGTTAATAGGGTTTTCCACCACTGATGTCTCTCTGTTTCTTCTTGTGAAAAGAGAGATTTTTCGTTTTCCGGAGGAGAGGTATCTTCTTTTCGTCCTTTGAAATTCTCTGCCAGTGACGTCGGGTTTCACGAATGGTGCACAAAAAGTTGTAATGTGTAGGAAATTACGCTGGCTAAAGGTTGATAAGACATCTAGAACGACGTTTCTTCAGTTACTACATACATGATTAACGAGCAAAACTTTAACCACCAACATATTCTACTCTAGAGTTCAAAGAAACTAAGTCCAATGAAATTTCATTAAATATTTTTTATAAAAATTTTCTGTAATATTTATTTACTACTTAGGAAGGATTTTTCTAGAATTTAGAACGTCTGACTAAAAATATACTTGTTATAAAAACTCTGACTGAAAATTAATTTTTGTTACTTATATCAAAGTTACTTTATTACTAAAACTAAATTTACTAGATTTTTAATTGTTTTGACTGAGTTTTTCTACTTATTATTAGTATTAAAAATTTTAATCTGACTGAAATTGACTATTTCTACTGATGCAATAATTATTATTATTATTATTAAAAACTTTTTTGTCCGATTGTAAATGATTTTTTTCCACAATTGGAAAAAAAAATTTTTTATTGACTGACTTTTACCACTCTTGTATAAATCATATTTAGTCTGACCGAAATTGACTTTTACTACTTATTGTATGACTGAAATGTATTAGGAAAGAATTTATTTCAAAAGAAAGAAATTTAATGAAATATTGAACCAATCAGAGTAACACGATGAGCTTTCTTTGTGTATAGTGATTATATTGGTTTTGAAAGGGTAAAAGAGTGATCAAGTTAAGACGGAAATTGAGAATGAAGGCAGACAAATTGGGATTTTATTTTCTCGTTCTTTTCTTCTTTCCTATGAAATCTCAAAAAAAGGAAGAGAGAGACTAAAAATGATTCCTCATTCAGGAATTATAATCCAGTTTTATTTATTATTTTTTTTTTGTACATAATTTTTTATACAATTTTTTTAATATAAAATTAAAAGTAAATTTTTTTTTTTACTTATAAAATTATAAAATATTATAAAAGTATATAAATTTATAATAAAAACGTGGAATTTTTTATTAAATTATATTTTTTCATCTCGAATTATTTTTTCGTATTTTGGCAACTGAAAATAATAGAAAGATTTTTCTGAGGAATCTTTTTTTTAGGCTTTATCTCTTTCTTGTGAAATTGTGTAGGTCACGTGTTTTGAAAAAAAAAACTTGGCAATCTTCTACTACCTGCTGCCCAGTTTATCAAGACTCTTGGACACCATGCTCTAGCACGACAGGATAAGGAGTTTCATGATAAAACTTTAAGGCACTAAATTAGAGCTGTATTTTGTAAACTTATAAGTGATGTTTTTAAAGTTTCCCTCATTTATGCACGATTACAAAAATTACAGCACGAGAATGTATAAGTTTGAAAGTATCTACTTGAAAGTCAAACTGATAAACTTTATTCTCCCGGTGAATTATTTTTAAAATCGTCTTGAACCAAGAATGGGAGAAGTTTTTTTTATTTATTTATTTTTGCTTCCTCGTGGAGGAAGCTATTTTCATTTTTTTATTTATTTAATTTTTTAAAATATTTTTTTGAAATTATTGAGAAAATTTTTGATGTTCGCAATAAAATTGTAATTTTTATAGTAACCAAAATTTTGTTTCAGCCTCAATCAAAAAAAAAGGTGAAAAAGAAAAAATGGTTTTCAGATCTTTTAGATTTCTATGTAATTTGGTAAAATATTAATACCAGTTTTTGATATATAGAACATGAATTTCTTTTATGTCACCACAATACCTCTATTGTTCCACAATCGATTTCTTAAGAGAGAACCAAAAAAGATTCTCTTTAAAGTCAGCCCGTAAAATTTCTACCGATAGTTTTCAAGTTCCTTTATACTGAAATTCTCTGTAGAGATAAATGGCAAAGAAAGAAATCACACTAGAAATGATGAAAAAAAAATTCAATTTCGCAATTATAATTTTTTTTTTTTTGTTTTACAAGAAAGAGAGATTTCTTTATCAGAAAAATCATTTTTATTTATTTGTAGTATAAGTATAAAAGAGATTTTCAATTTTTGAAATTTATTTTATTTTTAATTGGAAAATTGTTTTTATTTTTATTTTGTTTTGACGAATTAGTATTCTAATTTATTTGTAGAATTGAAAAATAATTTTTATTATCAAATTTCAGGTACGGAACCATTTAATCGAGCAATGCTGATGAACGTTGGCTACGTGGAAGCTTTAAAGGAGAGATCATTCGATTGTTTCATTTTCCACGACGTCGATCTTCTTCCCGAGGACGATCGGAATCTCTATAATTGCCCCGAGCAACCAAGACACATGTCTGTCGCTATAGATAAATTTAAATACCGGTTAGTAATTTTTTTGTAAAGAATTTTATTAACAAAATTCAATAAATTAAATCTAATTTAAATAAATAATACCAAAAAAATCCAATTTCATTCATTTAATTAAATATTATTCAGTTTATTGGATTTTATTTTGAAATTAAAACAAAAATTAAAATGAAAATTTAATTTCAATTAAAATTATTAATTATTACAGATTACCTTACGCTGACTTGTTTGGCGGAGTTTCAGCCTTGACGAAAGAACACTTTCAATTGGTAAATGGATTCAGTAATGTGTTCTCTGGTTGGGGTGGAGAAGACGACGATATGGCTAATCGCATAAAAACTCATGGACTTCGAATTTCGCGATATCCAGCAAATATCGCTCGATATAAAATGCTTAATCACAAAAAGGAAAAGGCAAATCCAAAGAGGTAGCCATTTTAATTTTTCTTTCTAAAATACTTATTTAGTTGAAAATTATTTTAATTCATTCATTTCAAACTACTCGAAAATTGTAAATTTTTTATTTACTTCAAAATTTTTCAATTTATTTTAAAAAAATTTAAATGTTCCTAAAAAAAATATGTAAATGTTGTTGAAAAAATTCTAGGTACGAGTATCTAAAAACTGGGAAGAAAAGATTTGCCACAGATGGTTTAAGTAATTTAAAATACGAGTTAAGGGACAAACAGAAACCAAAATTATACACTTGGTTGCTGGTGAGGTTGAAAACACTACAACGCAGCTGATGGCAACCTTGGATCGGGTAAAAAAAAATTGTTTACCTCAAATCCAATTAATATTGCTGCAAAAATTAATTTTTTTTGTGTGTAAGTGTATATAACAAGTTTTTGAAAACTCTTTTTCAAAAAAACATTCAACTGTTCGAGCTCGAAATTAATCTACTGAAAATTTTTCGAATTACTCCGCATAATGATGATAGTTTGGCGACTCATATTACAAGAAATTGATCTTATTTTTAAAAGGGCTACTTATAAATTACGTAATACATTTTTTTTTTTGGGAAATTTTGATCCCCCTTTTCCGCTTACAAAAAAACCATTAAATACTATGAAATCGTAATTAATCATTATTATTTATAAATATTATTATCATTAATTGATAATAGTAATTAATTAATAATTATCAATTAATGATTAAGTAAAATTGTTAACATAAAAGTTTATTTTTTTATATTTATGTAAAAATACATTAAATTATATTTACGTAATTTATGAATGGCCCCGTGAGTAGTGCTAACGATGAGTGATAACGCACGTCTCGAATGAGTTCAGAATTTTTCGTGATATGTTTGTATGCTCGTGTTCCAGCACTTTGTTAAACAAGACACTGAGAAAGATTTGTAGATTAGGGTTTAAAAAAAAATACAATGTAAATGATAGGCATAGATGATTGAGAGAAAGAAAAAGAATTATAATTTAGCGTATAGGATTTTTTCCTCAATTTTCGATGTTTCAGTCGAATTTGGATAAAAGTACGCACGTATTTTATATATTTTTTTAAATGATAGAGGCATTTCAGTACTTTTAAATTAATAATCTAAATTAGATATATATTAACCCTTATATGGTATATAGATTCGATATATTTTTTAATTGAAAATATTTGTTCAAGTTTCCGCTCCTTGTGATTATTTTTATCTCGGAGCCCTTTTTGAAGATATGAAAGTTTCTAAAACTTCTTTTTCTTTAAATTATTTCTAAAAATTTACCCCCCCCCCTTTTTTTAATGAGTTTTCTAAAAACTCAAAATATTTGCTCAATTTTTTGAGCAGATTTTGTCTTTTATTTTTCTACTTGAAATCTATAATTGTACTTAAATGTATATTCGTTTTGTTTTTTTCTTTGTAAAAAAGAAAAAGATTTTTAATGAAAGTAGAAACGAATTTGCATATGTAATATAATTTTTTATATATAAAATAATGTAAAAGAACTGAAAATACGCGAGAGAATTTTTAGTTTGCGAATTGAATGTTATTGTTTGAAAAAAATCTTTCATCTCTTCTCGAAACGTAAAGAATTTATAAACAGTTAGTTACGAATACAGGGATGATACGAGTTTTAGAATAGTTTTACTAACATTTTGAACTTTAATTTTTAAATTAATTGCAAATTTTAGGTTCGAAATAACTATTTGCGAAACTTTAATGTTGGAAGCAATTTCAAAATTTTAATTTTTAAATTACTGTCTAATCAAATTTTAGTTTCGCAATAAATTATGAATATTTTTTAATTAATTTACAGTTTTAATGAATTTATTTGAATTTTTTGAAATTCTATTTTTTCTAGTTATTTATTTTTTAGATAATTTATTTTCATTTAAGTCCGCCGAGATATTATTTGCATTTTACTTAAGTGGTAAAAAAATAACAATAACATCACAAATCAATACAAAAATTAAATTTTTTTTTTTTAAATATCAAAGAAAAAAAAGTTTATCAGATTTTCAAATTCTTTAGAAAATTTGTAAGATAAAAGTTTCACTTTCCTTCTTAAAATTCAACAAAACAATGAAAGTCAAATTTCAAAAAGAAAGTCTTTATTTGTTTTTCTAGAATTCTTATGTGGAATTTTTGAAGATACTTTAAAAAAAACAATGTTTTTGTTTTCAAATTATATATTTTGGATCTCCAAGAGATATTAAATAATCAATTAAATCGTTAACTATTATTAATCACCATAATTTTAATTCATTATTTTTAATTAATTATGTATTCATTATTGAAAATAATTTTTCTGAATTGTTCTTCAGTTCCAGCTGTTTGATTATTAATATAGTTTGTAATTATGAAAGTATTGATAAACCATAAGTCTAACCAATTTTGCAAAAAAAATTAAATAAATAAAAGATAAACAATTTTCAAAACTATTTAAAGAGAAATACTGAAAATGTAACGCACTCTTTTAAAACTACACGACAGATATAATATCAATGGATATTGATTGCTCAAAAAAAAAATAAATAAATAAATAAAAAACTGTGACTAAAGAATAATGTTCTTCCTAAGAGCTAAGTTCTCTTAAACACAAAATCTTCGTTTATTGTTGCGTCATCGCAATTTCGATCGTTAATTAAATGATAATTAATTAGCAAATTAATAATAATAGTAAGAATAATAATATAATTAATCAATTCTTAATTTGATTTTCTAAAAAAATCAAAATAAATATTATTTGATAATTAATTATTAATTTGTTAACAATAAAAACTTATTTCTTGAAATTTTATTAAATTTTAACAAGAATTGCAATTGTTATTTTAAAAACTCAAATCTTCGATTATTGTTATTCCACTAAAATGGTTCATATCGTTTGTTAAAATTGCAATGAGGGATATAAAATCAAATTGTAATTATTTAGAAAAAAGAAATAAAATTGACTCCCTCTGTTTAATTGCTATTATTGTAAAATAATTCGAAATTATATTTTTCGTATAAAAAAGTGTTTAACTAATTATACGAAACAAGCAAAGAGAACAAAAAACGTGCTCGCTGCCGCGAATTATTTTCTCTTAAAGTCATTCCATTATTTTTAAACTATGTTAATTTTAAAGAAACGCGAATACCTCTCTTTTTAATTTTATTAGTTTTTAATAAACGCAATTTATCCACGATTATCATTGGTGAAAATTAATTAAGGAAATTAATAAGTTTTAAAATTAATTTTTTACAATGAGTGTTGTGGATAAATTATCATACACTTTAGCATTTTTTGCGGCAACAAATATTATATATTATAATATATGAAGAAGATTGTAAGCTACGGCGAGGAGCAAAGACAGATAGTGATATTAAAATTTACTAGACGAATAAGAATAATGGCTAAGTATTTATAAAATATAATATAAATGGTACTAGATAGGCATACAGGAAAATATTTTATTCGTCGTAAATTAAAATAGCTTCCGTTTCCATTTCTTTTTTTTTAGCAAAATCTACTGTAAATGTATAGAAATTTTTTGTTTAGTGATTTTTTTGTGTGACAATTATAATGAAAAAGAATTGTTTTATGTTTTTTTTTTAAATTTAGTCACGAGTGCCACGTTCACAAATAAATTTGTATATTTTTTCTTATGAAATATGAATTATTAATATGTATCAGATTTATAAACTGTACAAACGCATTCAAACTTACCAACGGTAACATCTTCGAAATATGTACTTTTTAAAGGCCTTTAATCAGCTTCTTTGATTGTAATACATATACAAAAAAAGACGAATGAGCAATTCTTCCTATCTTATATAGAAGAAATGATGGAACAATTTCCATGCGTTGGTTCCTTAAATTTTCCTTCCAATTTAACTACGGCTTCCTCAGAAGCACAATGTATAAAGTTGTGAAATTACTCAAACATCGTTTATGACGTAACAAAACAATAAAAAAAAAACTATTAAACAAAAAAAATTTAATTTAATTCATTTTTTTGGACCTTTTTAATTTTTAAATTATTTAAACTTTTATATGTGCAATTAATTAAAATTCTAAATTTTGAACAAGAAATAAGATAAAAACACAATTCCATTTAGTTTTTTTTTTCTTTTATTAATTTAAACCAACAGCGTCTTTGAGCATTGGTTCAGTTTAGCCAATAAATAATATTTAGTAATATTTCTTATCGCTTGCTCGGGCGATAGAAAAAGAAAAAAATGAAGTATTGTTAATCGTCAGTGACAGTTTGCTTTACCTCATAGAGATAATTACATTTTGTCAAATAATTCTGTCATAGTTTTCCCTTATACTTTTATATTTACCTAATAAAATCCAGATAAATTCAAAATATATGAATTTTACCAAATTTTTCTTTTTTTTTCAGGAAAAAAGTTGTCGGACCTGTTGGTTCACATAATGTGAGAATCAAAAAAAAAAAATTTTTTTTTTCTTTGACTAAGCACACAAAAGATACATTTTTTTTATCACTCACTCTGCTAATAAATTTTACCTCGTTTAATACGTGGCATGTCATTTGCACATTAATAATTACAATTAATATCGATGAAACAATATAAATGATTTTGTTTGCTTTTTTTTTTTTTTTGTTTTTTTTCTTTTGAGGTGTGTGGGATCTGAGTCGCATAATCTCGATGGCACATCAAATCTTTCGGCATTTTAAGTGCCATAAGAGCAAAAATACTAATTTCTAATGATAAAAGATAGAAACAATAATAAAAAAAGTCCTTTTTTTATCATTGTCGAACATAATTGTCATAATGTATTTATAATATTTAGTGATAATATACATACCATTATCGTCGCGATAATATAATCACATTACGAAACGCACTTCTATATTCACAAATCAATAAATTGTCTTCGTCATCGCGCCATTAAAAAAAAAAAGAAAAAAAAATATTATGCAATTATTGTTGCTGTTTTTTGTTTTCATCAATTACAATATATAATAAATTATTGATATTAATATATTTACAAAGGAGGTAAATATTTACTAATATGCAGTATTATTTATAATAACTTACGGTTATATATATTTTTTTTGTCACGTGACTAATGGGGGTGGATAAAGTGTTTTAATGAGGAACTCGCTTTTTTTCATTCAGAGAGATTAACCACGCAAATTTTTGTTTCCTTTTTTTTCTTTACTATACAAGAGAAACGAAACATGACACACGTTCACACAATCGGCCGATCAACGATTCTGTTCATGAATTTTTTTTTTTTTTTTGAGCAATTCATTGATAATTGTGAACGATATTTCATTATTCCACGGATTTTAAAAAGTTCAATTTACTGTACAAATTAAATTCAAATTCACATTAAATTTTGTAATTTTAATTCGAATCGATTTTGAATTAGTTATATATTTTTAATGATGGATTCAATTTTTAATATTTACAATTTTTTTTTTTTAATAACTGATTTAATTTATACAAAGCGAAATTTAAAAAAATCGTCGATCGGTTTTACAATCTCTGCTCATATTATTTTTGTTTTCGTTGAAAAGGAAAATTACAATAAATTTTTGGGGAAAATTTCGTTTACAAATTTCACCAGTTCCCTTTGGAAAAAGGTTTGAAAAACCATGGGCACTGGCCAAGAGTGATTGCAATTTTACTAACAAGAAGGGAACGGGGGGCTTGATAAATATCTAGAAATTCTATTTCTAAACTAATCTAAAAAGCTGCGAAAGAGTTTTTCTTTTTTTTTTCTCTCCATACTAAGGATTACTTACACTAAAGAGTCTATGCGAAATCTATCTCACCACTAGAGTTTTTATTTATTTATTTTTTTTTTGTTTTAGCAACATGGACATTATTATTTGTTTCACCCTCCCTTTACCCTCCCTTCCCACCCAACCCCTTTTTTTTACCCATCCCAACGTGTTCCTTCAAAATATTCCACTTTTTTTTTTTGTTATTTGCCTCTTATTGCTCTATAAGAAAAAATTGTATCGTCATATTATCTCGATTAACCAATAATATATTAATTAATTATTCTTATTAATTATAATCCTTAGTTCTTATATACCTCGGTGTTTCAAATTTATATATTTTTCCTGTTTATGTTATTATAATTATAATTATAATAATTATTATTATTATTATATTATTATTTTTTACTTAAGATTTATCACTGCTCATTCTCTTTACAAAACGCACGACTAAAACTCGTTTATAGAAATTACGGTTTTTTTTTTTTTGTCTCTTATGTGAATCACAGCCAGGGATGCTGTCACTTTCGCAAGGAACTTCTTTTTTTTAACATATTGTTCGAATTATTGTTTCAAAAAGTGATAAAAAAATGCAAAAATTGCCTATAATTATAGAAACGTGTGCAATTCGATAATGTGCATTTTTTTTTTTATTTGAAAAAATTGTAATCTTTTTTTTATTTGGATAAAATTGTTTTTAAAATATTCTTTATATTGTTTTATAGAAAAAAAATAAATTCGAAATTGCGAGTGAACAATCTCAAGACGGTTTTTCAAATAACAAATAAATTTTTTCGTCGTGCGTTCGTAATTAACAATGAATCAACGAAATAACTCTCACACACACACACACACTCTCTCTTTCTATCGCTCCCTCTCTCTCACACACACTTCTTACCATGTGCAGTACAATTATATAATTAGCCGTATTATATACTTTTATTATAATTAAGTGTTACAAAAGCTTGATTATTTGGATCGGACTGTAGCAATATATTCACATAACTATCATTGTGGAAAATAAAAAAATTCAACGTTTACATATTACAATTATTACTCCGTTCTTCATCACGCGACAATATTTCTTTTTTTCTTTTTTATATATATATATATATATAATTCATTCTTGTCTCGCAATAAATACAATTATTATGCATAATATCATTTCACCATTATTTAGGGGGAGAGGGGAAAAAACCATTTTTTAAATTTACATCAGAATATCGCGAATATTAATTTACAAAAAAATTTCTGAATTTCTTTTATTTGTTTTTAATTTTAATTCCAATTAACTGGCTACGACTAAAACATTTTGACTCGTAATATGCACTCGACAAATATTTCTTTTCCTATATCAATATCAAGTGAAATATAAATTTGATTTACTAATTTTCTCAATGTGCACCAAAACAAAGAAACAAAAAAAAATATATATTGCCATTTAAAAAACAAAGACTCATTAAACGGCACAACTAATATATATAATATATATTATAAATATATAACTTACAATTAAAACAATTTGTCAGATCTTTTTGCAGTTACACATTTTTCCCAGCACGAATCAGGGAAATAAATTTATATCAATCACTCTATATAGCGCAATATAAAAACATTGATTTAACTTTTAAAAAGATATATCACAATTGAATGCATAAAGAATCTCACCTATCGTTCTAAAACAAAAAACAGAGAGAGCGAGAGAGAGAGAGAGAAAGAAAAAAAACAAATGAATTAAAAATTAATTCGCTAGTAACATTTCTAATTAAAAATCAATTGGATGAGTTACGAAAATTTTCGGAATTAATAAATAGCCCCGATAATTTAAACCAGTAACATTACACTCTGCCCTTATTGCATACCATTTAAAAATTAACAATTTATTTTTATTATTGCCAACTTTTTGCTATTTTTCATTTAAAATAAAGTTTAAAGAGTCCTCGCGTTTTTTTCATATTAAAAAAAATATGTATTTGTCGACAATTCCATTGCAAAAGATTTCAAGAATTTAGTAAATTAATTAGTTTAATTAATTACTATAGTTAATAATATAATATTAAAAAAAACATTTCACATAATACACAAAGATTTTAAAAAATCGAAAAAATTTCAATTGAAATAAATTCAAAGATAATTTCAAAGAATGCAAAAAAAAAGATTTTTTTAATTCAAAACAAAAAATATAAAAATGAAACACATACATTAAAAGATTTAAAATAATTAAATCGAAAAACTAAATATATAAAAAAAATAAAAAATTCTCGAGATCAGTTTAAATTGAAATTTCGTCGACAATTTTTTTCCAACAACTAAACAATTTTGAAATATATTTCATATACAAAATATGTCAATTGAAAGCACAAAAATTCTTTTGAGCGTTTGCTCATTTGAATATTTGAGCAAATTTTTTTTTAAATTTCAATTCATCATTATAAAATGTACAATTATTTGCAATTGAATATACAATATCAGGCTTGAATTATTATTATTGTTTCAAGAGTAACCAGTATAGGCTATTTGAAAGGCGTTCAGTTTCATTATAAAATCCTAAAAATTGAAAAGTAGGAAAAAAAATACTAAAAAAAATTATTTAAAAAAATCTACAGTCGATTAAAAACGAAAAAGAGCTCTTTCCGATTTTCATAGTTCAAGGGGTAAATGTGTCTTGATTTTAGACACAGGAACAATAAACAAATTCCAAGTCACTAGATTGAATAAAAGAATCATGACCAGGAATTCTGCAAACAGATTGAATTTAAAAAAAAAGAAAGATATAAACAAAGATTATGTGCATCTGCAGTCTTAAAATTTCTAAGTAAAAGGACTTTTTAATTTAATATATTAAGCAATTTAAATTGATATATCAATTAATTACTATATATTAATTAATTAAACTTTTAATTTAAATGAAACGTCAATTAAAACTAAACTTCAATTAAAACCAATGTACCAATTAAAATTCATTAATTAAGTATCAATTAATTGAAATAATTGAAATTAATATATCAATTGACATGATTTTACCTACAATTAAAGTTAAACTACCAATTGATTAACAAATTAATCAATTAAATTACAAACTAATTAAAACGATTCAATCAATTAATTTAAAAAAAATGAACAATTAAAATACACTATTAGTTAAAAAATACACATAAAAGTAAAAGGGAGGCGTTCGAGTTTTTTTTTTTTTTTTGTACTTTGTCCCGTGTTTTTCCTCGTACCTTAATTTTTATAATTCGCTCTTGATAAACGTGTGTCGAGCGTGAGAGCAGCGGCGACGGGTGTCTTAATTAATAATAATTTACTTCATTAACGCAAGGATCATACCTAATTATCATCATTTCATATTTATCATGTAACGTTCCATTAATAGTGGATTGTCTCGACGGAAAATTGATGAAAAGCAGAGAGTGATTGAAATACGCCGCGAAAATACGTATTATTTAAAAGAGCCGTTTACGCGTGTTTTTTTTTTGTGCGTAGCCAAATGAAGATTTGCCCCGACTTTATTATTTCTTTTCTTAAACAAAAAAAAAACCGCTCACCAATTTCCTCTTTATTCCCCCACCCTTCTGAATAAGAAAAAACCCCAAGCCCCCTAAAAAACGCGTTTCAATATCACAGTATTGTGAAAATTTTATTGCATTGTTTTTTTTTTAAATAGACGCGAACGGGGTTCATGGCGGGGATTAATAGGCGCGTGAAGCTATTTCTTTTTCTTTTCCGTTTCCCTGCAGGGGGGAGGGGGGTTAAAATGGTTTTTCATTTTAAACATCGAGGGAGAGAGAGTTTCAATTATATTCAGACTGTCTCTTCTTATTGGTGTAACACTTGGACTCAAAGAACTAGAAATTTTCGGTTTATCTACCGAGATCCCGCCGTGTCTGATGACTGTGCAGTTGCTACGGGATTGTGACTTGTCTCGTATTCCATCACCTCCTGATAAATTAATTCCTTCCATTGATCCACTGTGTGCTCCCTCTCGTCAACACTATGATCGTATGGACCAGGTGCAGGCTTAAAAATAAAAATTCCAATTTAGTTAATTGGAAATATTTTTTCCAAGAAAAAATTTCGTTTTCCACTTACAGCATTAACTTCGCCTTCATCGTACCAAACGTTAATGTAATTATGTAGTAAAGCTTCGTCAACTGAGATACGACGCTCTGGATCAATGACCAACATACGCGAGAGCAAATCCCTCGCTTGACTCGCTAGAAGAATAAAAAAAGAAATTGAAAAAATTCATTCGTTATTTATACTGATAAGTTTATGAATAATTCAAAAGTAAATTACCCTTTAACCTATTGTGTTCCGACGAATCGGACGGAAATAGGATATCTGGAAACAATCTTTCAAAAGGATAACCAGGGTATCGTGGCCTATTCTCGACGTAATTCCTCACCGTCGGCTGCAATCGTTGCATAAATTCTTGAGCTGGTGTTCCCAATTGTTCTGGAAAACCCGAGAAACCATTGTTCGTTTTATGTGTTATTCTCATAAAATCTAATTTAATGTTTCGTGTTATTTGATATTATGTAAATTTTCTTTAAGAAATATGTTGGTTGAATTATGAAACACTTTTACGAAAAATTTGATAAATATTCTTTTAAACAGATTTCATAGTAAAATTATTAACAAAACAATCTTTAAATTATTTAAAAACTTTTCCCAAAATTCTGTACCTATAATCTTATTCCATTGATCAATATGATCTGTTCCTGGGAACAAGACACCACCTCGTATCATTTCGCCCATGATACAACCAACTGACCATATATCTACGTTCTCCTTGTATCCCATGCCAAGGATTACCTGAAATTAAAAACAAATTTTTCGATAAATTACAATTATAATTTAATAAATTTTTTTTTCTTTCAACGCCATTAAACTTTATTCAGAAAAAATATAGAATTTTGCCAAATTTACCTCTGGAGCTCGATAATATCGTGTTACGACGTACGGTGTCATCATAAATGTCGTGCCTGCGGTCCTAGCCAGACCAAAATCCAAAATTTTTAATGTGCAGTCCGACTTGACGACAATATTGCTTGGTTTCAAATCCTTTAAACAAAAATAAAAAATATTTTACTCAACAGAAGGAAAAAAAAAAAGATTTTCAAGAAAAATTTTCTTCGAAACAATTGTCTTTTATAAAAAAAGGAAATACTAAAAAAAATTAAATTAACAATTACCCTATGAATGATTCCAGCTGAATGTAAATGCTTAATACCACATAGCATTTGATACAATAAATATGACATGCGTTCGTGATCCAGATCCATCTGGATTACTTGGCACAGATTGGCGTCCATCAACTCCATCACGAGGTAGACATCTTGAAACTCGTCCAACGACCGTTGTGGCGTAAACGCATTTAAGAGTCCAATAATCTGCAAAAGTGACAAATAAAATTACCACCCAATGTCAATGTCTTGGCTTCAATTATCAAAAACAAAAAAAAAAATTCGCCAAAAATTTTCTACTCGATACAAAAACAAAATATAAATTTTAATTTTTCTCCCAGCTTACATTTTTATGATTCACCAATTTCATCAGCTTGAACTCTCTGTACGCTCTTTTCGCGTGCGTCACATTTTGAAAAGGTCTAGAAAGCTTCTTGATTGCCACATTTTGAGCTGTGACAGTATCAAAGGCGGCGCTGTAACAAAAAAAAAAATATTTAGTTTCCTTTTTTTTTATTATTTATGGTCTTTTGAACCTTAAATGTTTAATCGATTCAATCAAATTGTTGATTCAATTCTTTTTTTTTATTGTTTTGTCCAAATTGTTTTCTGGATTTATTGGATTATTATTTATAAACAATTCCAAGTCCGATGAGTGATACTCACCAGACTATACCCTGCGCCCCAACTCCTCTTGGTTCAACATGGATGTATCTTTCTGGTACACAGAGGACCGTGTCACCAAAAACGTGTCGACGATACTCGGCCTTATGATTGGCTGCTGAACGCAACATATTTCCAATTGCGTTATCCATACCTTTGTCAATGGTCCTTTTTTTTCTCTCACACTTTTGTACTTGTTCAGTGCATGTTTAACTAGGAAATAACACAGGCTAGCTACCAAACCAACGACAAGGACAACTAGAGTACAGAAGGGAACGAAAACAATCATGGTTAACATTCCAATGGACAATGGTAACAGACAGATAAAGAAAGTAAATGCGTCTCGATATATAAACGAGAGAGAGAGAAAGAGAAAACAATATGAGCCCATCGTCGTCTATACGTCTCCCGCCTATGTATTGATTGCACAAGCGTTCAATGCATTTCCGTCTCGTTTCAGTCTCGCGTGTGATATATGAAGACAGAAACACTGTTCCACTCGCTTGTTCATCTATACAAAAGGTTACTCTCTCTCGATTTTTCCAATTAGAAAACAAAATTTTATTTTTCGTTACTCGTCAATCATTAAATTTTAACAATTCAAGTGATTATTACATTTTTTTGGAAATATTTTTCTTTGACGAGTCTTCGTTGAAATAATTTCAATTATGTTCTAATATTGATTTTAATGATTTTTAATTAAATTTATCAAAATATTTAATCAATTTTCTCTCTTTGTTACAAATAATTCGATATAATATATATAATTTCTAAGAATCTCTCGTCTCTAATTGCAAATATCTTTCAATTTTATCTCATCGCAAATCTGTTATCAACTACATCTGATATTAAATCTGTCTGGTATCACTGTGCCACTTTTATGCAAACAGTCTTACAGGCAAACGATCGATTCACAAAAGGAAATTTGATTTGTGAAAAAAAAAATTCAATTTTCCCTCTCGTAACATTCAATTGCTTTAAAAGAGTTTATACGACAATTTTACTGATATTGAATTTTTACAATTTTTTGTCACATTCAACTATTCGAGGAAATAAATTTGAAAAAAAAAATTTTCCAAATCTATTTATATATTTAATTACTTAAAGAAATTTTTAATTTTTACACGAAATGTTTTTTTTTAATCAATAAATAACTAAATGAAAATTATAACAAAATTAATTTTAAAAATCAATTTGTAGCAATAATTTTGGTTTTTTTTTTATTACAATTGAATATTTTCTTCACTATCACTTTCCTATTTGAAAATTTCTAATCATTTGTGTAAGACTGATTATGAAAGCCTGATTGTCGGAACCATCCACACATTCAATTTTTAATAGTGAAAAAAAGCGTGACAATATAAAATTCAAATTACGAATTATTGTTACATAAAAATACTAAAAAAAAACTACAATACCAGAAAAAAATAAGAAAATAAAAAAAAGATAAAACAGTAAAAAAAAACAATTTAAAAATAAAAGAAAAAACAAATAAGCAAACAGAATTAATAAAATTAGAAAGCAAAAAACACAATAATAAAAATACAAATTAAAAATAGAAAATAATTGAAATCAGAAATGAAAAAATTAGGAAAATTTGAAGAGTTTAGAAAAATGGAATTTAAATAATTTTATGAAATAAATTTTAAATTCTAAATATCAAACTTTTTAATTTAAACAAAAATAGATATAAATGGAAAATAACATTAAAATGAGAAAAACGAAAGCAAATAAAAATGGAAAAAAAACCTCCAAATATTACGCACTATGAAAATTCCAGATGGATCCAAAAATCAAGGAAACAAATCATAATAATCTGAAATAAATAAGGCAAAATGATAAATAATTGATGTAATCACTTAAAAGTAAATATATACAATATATAGGATAAATATATAAACACCATTCAAAAATTAAATACACATCGTGCTTAATTACTTATCAAGCTAAATTCATCTATATACCAAGCGCATGCAACAAACAAAAACTGAAACAAAACATCCTCTTTTTTTTTTTTTTTAAAGAAAATTTTTAATACAAAAATTGTATGGATGGTTCAGGTCGTTCTCTCTCTTTCTTGGAGAATGAAAAATCGAAATCTTTTTTAAAACTATAACAAAAAATTCTTTTTTTTCTTCTCTCAACTTTCGAAGATTTTTCACATATCCAAAGAAGAGTGTTTCCTTCCCTTGAATCGAATTTTATATTCCGGATTCTTGGCAAAACTTACCTTCGATTTTCTGTTAGCTTTCCATAAAGCTTCGTCAGTTTAACAGTTTTTGCGACGAACCAGTGGCCGAGTTTTATTGAAAACCAATATCCGCATTCCGAGCAAATGTCCGACTTACCTATATTACACCCCCGAGATGGTTTTTCTTTTTTATTTATATATTCACGAAAATTTATTCTACCTTCGTGATGTCAAATTGACTCGACGTGCTTATAAACTAACGCCTATATACTGTCCGAGAATAATGATTCAAAATATCTGTTTCTTTGTTTCTCGCGTATCCAATCAGAAATGTTTGTATTTTCTTCTCTTTTTTTTTCATTTGGCTTCTCACATTTCTCCAGTTCAACGACACACAATTCATCGATACATTGAATTTTCTATTTCAAAAAAAAATAATTAAAAATTAAAAAAATATATTTATAGAAATAAATAAATTTTTTTTTCCAATTAAATATACGAATCATTATTTTCGGATAGTAAAAATTTAATTAAAATTCTTTTCAATAACGAAAAAAAAAAAAAAAATAGAAAATAAATTCGCGCTTACCAAACAATTCCTTGCGCGCCTGATCCAATGGGTTTGAGATTTTGATATCGTTTTAGAATGGTGAACTTGGTGTCCCCGACCTCGACCGTGTAAAACATGGCTGATAGCCGGGTTGTCATTTCAGGCCCCAGGTACGGCATGCGCCTCGGTGTTCGCCTTTCCTGCACCGGGACCTGTACTTCCACTCCAGTAGAGCACTCCTGGTGCACTCTACGCGGACTGACGCTCTTAGCCACTTTGAACAAGTGGATCGATTGTTTTTGGCCGATTTAATATCTCCACACCCAATTCTCCTTCAAATTCTTTCTTCCTTTAACCACTTTCTGTTCCTTCCTTCCTTTTTTTTCTCCAAAAATTCTTCGGATTTGTCTAAAAAAAAAAAATAATATTTTTTAGATAAATATTTTTTTTGGCATATCAAAAAAAAAAATATAGAATTTTTTTACAATAAAAAAGAAATATACTTTTTTAAATGAAAAAGAAATTGCTTTTCTAAATAAAAAAGGAATAAAATTTTAAAAAAAAATTGTAGAATATAAATTAGTATAATAATTATAAATTAGTAAAATATAAATTAGTATTATAAAAAATAGTATAATTATAAATTAGTAAAATATAAATTAGTATTATAAAAATTAGTAGAATTATAAATTAGTATAATTAAAAATTAGTAAAATATAAATTAGTATTATAAAAAATAGTATAATTATAAATTAGTAAAATATAAATTAGTATTATAAAAATTAGTAGAATTATAAATTAGTAAAATATAAATTAGTATTATAAAAATTAGTAGAATTATAAATTAGTATAATTATAAATTAGTAAAATATAAATTAGTATTATAAAAAATAGTAGAATTATAAATTAGTAAAATATAAATTAGTATTATAAAAATTAGTAGAATTATAAATTAGTAGAATTATAAATTAATATAATTATAAATTAGTAAAATATAAATTAGTATTATAAAAAATAGTAGAATTATAAATTAGTAAAATATAAATTAGTATTATAAAAATTAGTAGAATTATAAATTAGTAAAATATAAATTAGTATTATAAAAATTAGTAGAATTATAAATTAATATAATTATAAATTAGTAAAATATAAATTAGTATTATAAAAAATAGTAGAATTATAAATTAGTATTATAAAAATTAGTAGAATTATAAATTAGTAAAATATAAATTAGTATTATAAAAAATAGTATAATTATAAATTAGTAAAATATAAATTAGTATTATAAAAATTAGTAGAATTATAAATTAGTAAAATATAAATTAGTATTATAAAAATTAGTAGAATTATAAATTAGTAAAATATAAATTAGTATTATAAAAATTAGTAGAATTATAAATTAATATAATTATAAATTAGTAAAATATAAATTAGTATTATAAAAAATAGTAGAATTATAAATTAGTATTATAAAAATTAGTAGAATTATAAATTTGTAAAATATAAATTAGTATTATAAAAAATAGTATAATTATAAATTAGTAAAATATAAATTAGTATTATAAAAATTAGTAGAATTATAAATTAGTAAAATATAAATTAGTATTATAAAAATTAGTAGAATTATAAATTAATATAATTATAAATTAGTAAAATATAAATTAGTATTATAAAAAATAGTAGAGTTATAAATTAGTATTATAAAAATTAGTAGAATTATAAATTAGTATAATTATAAATTAGTAAAATATAAATTAGTATTATAAAAATTAGTAGAATTATAAATTAGTAAAATACAAATTAGTAAAATACAAATTAGTATAATTATAAATCGAGTATATCTTCAGTAATTTCTGAATTGACTCAAAGTGTACAATGTTCGTTATGGATTGTGAGCAGGATTGTATTGAGTGAATCATTCTGCGTCACCGAGAACGTGAAGGTTATTGCTCCTATATTTTTTAAGACACCATGTGTACCATCACAAAAACTTTCTAATTAAAAAAAAAAATAATAGTTATTGTTTAAAAAAAAAAAAAAGAAAACAGTTATTATCGTTATTTGCGGTGCCAAATCATTCTAAGAATGCAAAATATTTAGAAGAAGCTATGTTGCTCGTTTATTACAACAATAGACATGGAAATATGAGGTATGAGAGTCGACACTTGCGTCAACACGAATCCTGGTGTTAATAATAATAATAATAATAATAATAATAATAATGCACTAACGTTAAACAAAAATGCCTATGTTATTATATACACACGTGCTTCGAGCCAAAACTCGTATAAGGTTCATACAGGTTAATGACCCATTTTTTTTTTTTTTTTTTTTTTTCATAAAACCTCATCGTTATTATGCAAATTCTTAAACATAAAACCACAATTTTAAAAGTGACTGATAATTGATTTTCACCTCTCGTATTCATTGTTATTAAATTCGTAATATCTTATTGAACTAAAAAAAAAAAAATACATGAAAGAATTTATTTTAAAGTTGATATTTAAAAACAAGGGAAAAAAATAGAAATTACTGTCACCGATGAGTGGAATTTCCTTAAATTTAAAAATAGAAAAAATGTGGGTCAGTGCTTCGAGTCAGGAAATGTTAATTTTACATGATATCTAAAAAAAAAAAAAAAAAATTTGCCTCAATGCAGTTTTTCGTTAAATTGCTTAATTAAAATTGTAACTATTTCCAAACTTTTACTAGAATAACAATTAATTTTTCTATCATAATTCATAAAAAAAAGATAAAATTAATAAAAATTGAATTTTTTGTCTATAACAAAATAGAAATTCAAAATAAATTTCTCTATTACTCACAACTGCAAAATATGAGGGATTTATATAATAAATATACGGGCATTATGTAGACATATATATGAATTTATAGAATGTTGAAAAAAAAAAATCGACTGTGCATAATGTTGAATAAAGCTTGGTCGCCTGAGGCAATCTAGGTCATTCCATCTCCCTCTTTACATATCGATGCAAAAGAATAATAAAACTGTAGAGGAAAAGCAACCCCCACAGATCGATGAGGTGAACGCCCCTCCCAGTAAAAAAAAAAAAAAAAAAAAGGGCGCAAGAACCACGTGGCAAATTTGTTCATTTACAGCATCCTAATATCCGATTTACAGCCTCCGCTTATATGAGATGATAGGATCTTAAATTTATGTTATGAGAGCTATTATAATTGTTTGCTATAACGGCTTTATATCTCAATTGACTGCAATTGCCGAAAACTAGTGAAAAAAAAAATTCTTATCAATTTCCATTTCATTTAGCCTTGTTTTTATTCAATCAGATTTAAATAAAAAAATTATTTTTATCAGTTAAAACATCAAAATATACAATTTTCTTGGCTATTCAACAAAATCGAGGGTGGTCATATAATGTCACGTTATCGATGTAAACGATTTCGACTGTCAAAGTGATAAAAATTTATTGCATTTTAATGTTGCAACTGTAGGTACTTAACCTTGCTTTATCTCACTTCCTGCACTAGATATTTCAAAGACAAACGACATGAATTGTGTGTATCATTTAATTTACGACTATCAAAAAGAATATTATTTTCATTTTTAATATTTCAAAAAAAAATGTTCCTAAATTTCTTGAACTTCTTCTTCAAATCGATTTTTTTGTCCCATTTAATAATAAATTTTAGTAAAGATGGTATTATAGTTTCAAAAAAAATTTGCCATTTACTAAAAATTATTTAATTATTTTAATGTAAAAAAAAATAAAACAGAAAAATAATTTTTTAAATTATAGTAAAAACAATTGGAATATTTTTCATCGAAAATCCCATATGCTGTGTTGATATAATTTGTCAACATTTATGCAATCAATTTTTTAAATGCACGTTTAAGATAAATAGGCAAAGTGTCTCTCTAAAATTTGCACGGATATACGCACATACCATGTCCGCATTCTTGAAACTAGTATCTGACAGGGTACAAATTTCTTCACCTCACAGTTGAGCTCCGACAAATCGCTCATTAGGACATGTTTAATGATATACTCTGCTTCTAATCTTATATTTCAAAAATAATTCCGCAAATATGAAAATTTTTATATAGAAAATGATAAATTTTCTCAAATTCCCACGACAAATTGAGTTTATTTTCATAAAATCAAAATCTCTCTCTTTCTCTCTCACTTTTTGACATTATATTTAATCTCCCGTTTCTTTTTTTCCTCTTACACTGCAGATATATAAGTTGGACGAATTCCAATAATAAAAAAAGAAAAACTTTTCTTCTTTATATAAACGGGAAATAGTAAAACATATAATTATATTAATATTTCCGGAAATTAAAAATACTTAAAACAAAAAAAAAAATAAAATAAAAGAAAAACTTACCATAAATTGTTAATCATTTTGAAAGTTTGATGAAATTTCGGCTCCAGGAAAAAAGAATCTGCAACATTAAAGAAAAACACGAATTAAAATCAATTGTTTAAAACTGAAAATATTTATTAAAAATAAAACAAAGGTTTGGAAAAACATTGTTTTTTTGAAACAAAATTATTTTTTTACTTTTTCTTTGCCATTTTTATTATTACTTTTCAAATAACTGAGTAATTTATAGTATAACTGAATAATGCCCGCTGGCTTCAATTTTAATTTCCAACAATATAAGGGAGGATATGAAGAACCTTTCGTAGTACCGACAAAGCTAATTACCCAGATCAAAGGTTTTGTATATTTTGCAATTTTTCCCCTCTCCCGATTTTTAATGAATTTTTCTATAAATAAAAGCAACAATAATTTTAATTTTTTTTTTATTAAATCCTAACATTTTAAATATATAACGTTTCGTTTATTAAGGATGGGGGGGGGGAGGGGAACCACTTACTTTTCCCAATCATATTTCATTGCACAAGCAGTCCACGTATTTGCTCGTTCGAGAATTTCAGAGGTTTTTTTTTCCTCCTCTTTCATTCCCTTATATTCTTTATCGCATTTCTTTTTTTTTTTTGCCATTGACTCTCTTTCTTAAAGGAAAATCGTGGATGACGGTTTTCCATTACCGAGACCGAGTATAATAATAATTCTATGTCAGGCTTTTTGGAAATGAAAATTTTATTTTCTACTTTTGAATTTCAATTAATAAAAAAAAAAAAATTAAAAATAAAATTATTTTCCACACTTACAGAAGAATTCTTTTAGTAGTAAAACGTAATTAACAATATTATAATGAAATAAAAAATATTAATTACAATTATAATAGTAATAATAATAACAATTAATTATAATTAAATGTTATTTCTTAATTTTCTTTTCTTTTATTAATAAAAGAATTTTACTAATATTAATAATTGTTTAACTGCAAAATGTATTGTAATTTATTTGACAAGAATAAATATTTAATTTAATTAAAAAAATTTTAATATCCTGTGGAAGATTTAATATAATAATTGTAATATTCTAATAAACTGTAAATATAGCAATAATATATAAATATTTAATAGTTGTAGAGAATATAATTTCTGTATTTATCCATTTAGAAAATGTTGGTAAAGTGAAATAGGGAAAATACAAACTTCAATATATACTAAACTCTTGATATTATATCGTAACACCCTGTATTTACTAGAGCATGCTATTATTTATATTTACCATGCCGTCATTTTGTGAGCCGCAAGACTCTCCACAGGCGAATTTTGGGATTAAAATTACCCTTCGACCCTTAAATTCAACTCCCTTTCACATGAAACCACGAAAGTTCCACGAACTTGATCGTTTTCATATCGCGTTTGTACATAACAACTTGTGAGCAACATATTAGAATTTTATTACAACATTCCATATGTAAAATAATTGTTTATTCATTAAAGATTTCAGAACCTCTCGAAAATAAAAAATTCAAAACCTCTGAAAACTCAAAACAATTTTTAAAAGATTTCATTATTTTTTTTTATTAAAGAAAAAAAGGGTTTTTTTTGGGGGGGGGGGGGGGGAAAGAATTAGAAAATATTTTTAAAAAAAACCACCTTCAAGAAAAAGAAAGTCCATAAAATTTGTAGACAAATAAATAAAATAATTTATACTTAAATAAATAACTGAAACAATTAATATATAATAAATAAAAACAATGTTCAAAAAATTATAAACAAAATAAAAAAATAAAACAAAATAATTAAACAATTTATAAATAAATAACTGAAACAATTTTAAATAAAATAAAATAAATTTTAAATAAATAAATAGAAAAAAATATGAAAAATATTATTATTTATTTTTGTATAGAAAATTAAAAAAAAAAATGTCAGGTAAAAGCTTTTTAAATTCCCTCGAGAATATGCGCGTAAAGCCGCGCAAAAACCCCCCCAAAAAAAAAAAAAAAAGACAAGTCCATAGTGTATTAAAAAATGAAACAGGTCAGAGAATGTTATCTTGATGGACAAGATTTTGCCAAGAGAGTTTATGATAACAGGAGAATGTTGTCATGAGATTTTACAGGATTAACGCTTGCGCAAGCATTGTTGAGTGTTCTCTCACGGGGAAGCCTTATTTGGCGAAAAACGTCCCAAGTAAATTACGTGAGAGTTAAAGTTTTACTTGCAAGCGAACGAGCAATGACTGCAAGCGTCGAGGGTGTACTATATAGAAGACAAGAGTATAGAGTTACTCCTAATAGCATACACGCTTTTATTTTGCGTACCTTTATTTCATTTTTTATTTATTTATTTATTTATATTTTTCTCCTCTGAGAGAAGTCTAGTCAGCAATTATCGAGATAAAAGAAACATATTTCTTTAAATTAATAAAAACTTTTTTCCGGATGCATTATTTTCCGCAAGAATATTGGCTTTTTAATAATAATTAGCAAAATTAAACGCGCGCAAGCGCGCCAAATTGAGTGTTTAATTGTTTGTTATAAAGAAATTAAAGATTATTAAAGATTATTTAAAAATAATAAATTTAAGATTAATTAAAGATTATTATTATTATCAATAATAATTTAATTTATTAGAATATTATTACATATTAAATAATAATAATGAAAATTATAAACAGGCCTCGGATTATACGACTTTTACCGACTTTTTTCAAAAATACGACTTTTATCGATTTATTTTAATAAAATGCGACATTTTTTTTTTACATTTGAAAAATAATGTAAATAAAATACATTTTTTTAGTATAAAATTTATATCTTCTTCAATTCAATTATTTAACAAATTTTGAACTAAAATGATTCTTCACTAAATTAATTATTTTTAATAATTTTAATTAAATACATCACAAATTCAATTATATCGAAATTAATTTTCAATTCAAATTTTTATGAAATTTAACAATTTTTTATAATTTAAAAAAAAAATATCACAATAAAATTGCATTATTTTTTAAAAATTTCAATTCAAAATAAACTAAATTTCAATTATTACCCGAAATTTTAATTCAAAATCAATTAAAAATCCAATAATTATCCAAAATTTTCAATTTAAAATTTAATTATTTACCAAGTTTTCAATTTAAAATGAAATAAAATGAAATTATTTTCTAAAATTTCTATTCAAAATTAATTATCCAAATTTTCAATTAAAAATGAACTTAAATTAAATTATTATACAAAATTTCAATTAAAATTCAATTATTTCACAAAATTTTCAATTCAAAATGAACTGAAATTCAATTATTTTCCAAATTTAATATCAAATAAAATTTGATTATTCTCAAAAATTTGAATTCAAAATTAATTGAATTTTCAATAATTTGAATTTAAAAGCATCTAAAATTTAATTATTTCTAAAATTTTCCATCGAAAATTTTATTTTGTTGAAATTTAATAATTTCAATTATAACTCTAAGGGAATTCAATTATTTTTTACTATTTTAGTAATATTCTTTGAAAATTCAACTATCTGAAACCATTTTTCAATTAAAAATGATTTTCATATTGTATTTTGTCCGCATTTTCTAATAAATTTTTAGTGAAATCATCTAAAATTTTAATTACAAAACACTTAAAGTTTCAATTAATTTCAAAAATCTCAATTTTAAATCTTTGAAAATTCAATTAAATTTAAAAAATGTTTTCCAAAAATTGTTTGATAAATTATTTTTAGTTCTATAAAATTTAAAAATTTGTTTGAAAATTAACAATATCTTTTTGAAATTTAATTATTTCTAAAAATCTCAACTTTAACCCTTCGAGAAGGATTATTATTAAAGAAAAAAATTTTTTATTTAAAAATCTGTAAAATATTTTTGTTAAAATAAAAAACAAATCCACTTTTTTTTGGAATATTAATAGACTAAAACGACTTTTTTGTGTCTTTAAGTTGATTCGAGGCCTGTTTTTATAATTAATATTTAATAGATATTCGTTGGCCCCTGGTACCTTAAAAATAAATTTTTTTCAAATTACTATCTTGTACGAAATTTCCTGGCGCATTTTTTTTTATCATAAATTTTTTGTATATGTATACAATTTTTGAATGAATATACAACTTTAAAAAAAATTTCGTTGGTAAACATTGTGTACTTCAGCTTCGTGAATTGAATTTTCAAATTTGGAATTTTAAAGAAACTTATTCCGAAATTTGGAAACAGAATTATACAACTTTGGCAAAAATGAGAAAAAGAATTGTCAAAATTTGACACGTCATAAGATTATTATTCAAAAAAACACGTGAAATCAGAAAAGGCCAACTTCAAGTTAGGACAAAAGGACAGACCAAGCATTTTATTATTATATATAATTTGTTATTTTAACATTATATATCAATGAGAAAAAAGAATTGTCAGTTAAAAGAACTTTTCAATATTTTTGTGAGGAAATAAAATAAAATATATATAAAAAATAAAAACGTATTTATTTCCCAAAGGATGTAAGTCTTTTCGTATCACGAATCCTGCATTTCTCTTTCTTTTTCCCTTCCATTTACTTTGTCATTCGCAACAGCAATTACTTTCGAAAATCCCTTGATACAAACTATTCTGTTAAAAATTGAAAGCTTTTTTATTGATTTTAAACGAGAAGTATATGATTTAAAAAAAGAGGATCTCTATCGCAATTTGTACAATTTAAATTTTAATTATACATTACATAAAAAAAAACCAATGTTATTTTTATATTATTTGTATTTTTAACATTTGTAATATAAATTTAGTTACTGTTCCATTTTGTGCTTGTAAAGCCAGTTCCTTGTCTCGGATAAAATTTATAATGACTGCTGATTGGTTAATGAGGTCTCTCATATATAGGTAGAAGATCACAGACTGCTATTTATAGTCCACAAGTCGATGTTCTACTTGGGGGAATTCTGGAATATCAAATTTGCCTCTATGCACCTCTTATGGGACCGACAACCCGTCAAAGTGTTCGTTTAGTTATGCACTCGAGTGCTCAGTGGAATGCATCTTCAATATTCTCCGACATTTTCATTCTCTAATTTAAGTGAAAAC